CCCCCCCCCCCCCAAAAATCTGGCATTAGTTCAATATTTCAAATGATCTCTTCCACACTTTAATTTTACTAATTGTTATTTATTATGTCCCATGCGCTATAAGAACTGCTGTGCAGGTTTTTAAATCCAAAAAAATTCTGATACATACTTGAAACATTCCAACCAACCCTGATGAAAAAGATTTTTTAAAAAAACCCATTTAAAATCAATGTGAAATAAATTTGTTCAATAAACTTGCTCGGCAGTCGTAGTTTCAGATGGCTTTATATAATGTTCATAAAGTGTTTATCAAAAGTATTTCTCTTCCTGCATTAAACTGGCATTGTAAATCATTCTTTAAAAAAATTAATTTCCTTTTTTTAAAACTTCTATTGGTGAGTTGTTTATGTAACCCATGGTTTGATCATGGTCAAAGTGTTTTTTTTAAATGTCATTTTGTTCATAATTAGTTCACTGCCCCTCTTTCCTGTATCTCGATATTATTCTCCTACCTTTGATAATTGTGTATGGATTAATTATAAATTATTCAATCAAAATTTTGAGACTTCTGAATAGAAATATTTATAACATAAACTTTTTCAATTTTTGTGTGGAAAATCAGTATGTTCCTTGGGTGTTTGGAATTTTTAGGAACCTAAATATGTTCACTCGCCTACAGTTTGTCATTTCAGAGGTAATTTGGTTCTGCATTTAAATGTATAAATTATAAAATAATTGATCAGAATTATTTTGCTCTTTACTTTTTGTGTTGAACAATAAAACTGTTGTGATTAGTTCCCATGTTTTCTTCTCGTTGAGTATATGAATATGAGTGTATGGGCGGCTGATAAGGATTTCTCAACTTTATCGCAAGAGTACTTGATTGCAACATTATACGATAGGATTATTTTATTGATCCAAAAAACTGGCGTAGCTAGTCTAGGGTTAGATCCACCCGGGGTGGGTCAAGATTTTTGCCGCCCCATTCCACGAAAAAAATGTATGTAGTTACCCGAAAATGTCGCCCATCCATAATATAAGTATAAAGAAAAAATACACCCCTCTACAGGGCCGGCCTTAGGCCACTGCAGTGGGCCCCACACTTTATTTTCTAATACAAAATCTTAATTTTCACTTATTATCCTTATCCCTACCCAGACTGGGCCCCGCACAAACCGTTTCGCATCGGGCCCCGCAATTGTTAGGGCCGGCCCTGCCCCCTACCTATGACATTTCATCAGAGGGACCCACATTTTATCATAGGGTCCTCATTTCATTAAAGTTTAATACAAAATTTAATAACATATTTGATAATGTCAGGGGGCCTAAGTGTCTTTGTGTTTCTTTGTTTTTTTTTTTGTTGTTGTCAAAGTGTTCTGACAGTAACGCTCATGGTAGCCACACGACTGGCTTCGACCCTGATTAAGTAAGCATTAAAAAAAAATAATAATAAATTAGCATAACGACGATAGACATTTACCTGAAGAATTTTCAGGTGCACACCTGTCGAAACGTGCACACCATCTGCCTATTGGATCGAGAAGGGGCTTGAACAACTGACCCGGCCCCTCCAACGCACACCCGCTCCTCTCTGTTAACGGGAGCTGTGTTAAAAGTACATGCTGTCCACCACACGTGCTGACAGGTTGTTTTTTTAGTGAGATGACTTAAGACAGCCGTCAGATCTGTCAGAGATTCTGTAAACTATTACATGATGGCTGGAAGGGAGTACGATATTTACCCCAGTAATGGTGCTCGATATTTATCCCAGTAATGGTGCAAGATATTTACCTCAGTAATGGTGCAAGATATTTACCCCAGTAATGGTGCACGATATTTACCCCAGTAATGGTGCAAGATATTTACCCCAGTAATGGTGCAAGATTTTCACCCAGTAATGGTGCAAGATATTTACCCTAGTAATGGTGCAAGATATTTACCCCAGTAATGGTGCAAGATATTTACCCCAGTAATGGTGCACGCTATTTATCCCAGTAATGGTGCACGCTATTTGTCCTAGTAATGGTTGTATGGCTAGTTAGAGAGTTTGGTATTGTTAAAAATCATGCAACTTGCTAAAGAAGCAGAGGATGCAGCTCACCAGGGGAACATGAGGGAACTGTTTGATACCATTAAGACGCTGTCAGTCAGGGAAATTTAGCAAAGTAGAGAGACCAGTGAAGGACAAAATGGGAAACACCATACCAAGTGAGGAGCAACAGAGAGGGAGATGGAAGGAGCACTTTGAAGAGCTCCTGAACAGGCCTGAACCAAGAAATCCACCAGATATCCAACCAGCCGATAATGACCTGCTAATTGACTGTAATAGTCCCACCAAAGAAGAGATTAGAAGGGCCATTAAACAACTCAGAAATGGAAAGGCTGCGGGACCTGATGGCATCCCAGCAGAGGCACTGAAGGCGGACCTGGAAACCAGTGTGGAAATGCTACACCCTCTGTTTATGAAGATATGGGAAGAGGAGCAAGTTCCTTCCGATTGGAAAGAGGGATACCTTATCAAGATCCCAAAGAAGGGAGACTTAAGCTCCTGCTCGAACTACAGAGGGATCACCCTGCTGTCCATCCCAGGAAAGGTTTTCAACCGTGTACTACTTAACAGGATGAAAAACGCTGTAGACCCTCTGTTGCGGGACGAACAAGCCGGCTTTCGCACCAACAGATCCTGCACGGACCAGATAGCGACACTGCGCATCATTCTAGAGCAGTCACTAGAGTGGAACTCGCCGCTCTATGTCAACTTTGTTGACTATGAAAAAGCCTTCGACAGTGTTGACAGGCAAACCCTGTGGAGATTGCTAAGGCATTACGGGGTGCCACAGAAGATTACTGATATAATCAGAAACATGTACGAAGGGATAAACTGCCGAGTTATCCATGGCCAGCAGTTGACAGATGCTTTCCAGGTGAAGACTGGTGTGAGACAAGGTTGCTTGCTGTCACCATTCCTCTTCCTGTTAGCCATTGACTGGGTGATGAAAACATCTACACAGCAGAAAAGAAATGGCATCCAATGGACCTTGTGGGATCAACTGGATGATCTTGACTTTGCTGATGATCTTGCACTTCTTGCACATACCCAACAACAGATGCAGGAGAAAACAAACATTGTCGCAGCCACTTCTGCTAGCATGGGTCTCAACATTCACAAAGGGAAGAGTAAAATCCTCAAGGTTAATGCCACCAGTACATCACCCATTATGCTTGAAGGAGAAGCCCTTGAGGAGGTGGACAGTTTTGTTTACCTTGGCAGCATGGTAGATAAACAAGGTGGTACAGATGCGGACGTCAAAATAAGGATAGGAAAAGCAAGAGCAGCCTTCCAACAACTCAAGAATGTTTGGGTCTCTAACAACTTAGGCAGCAAGTTAAAAGTAAGGATTTTTAACGCTATGGTAAAACCTGTGCTGCTATATGGAGCCGAGACATGGAGAACAACGGCCGTAAACCTGACCAGAATCCAGTCCTTCATCAACAACTGTCTAAGAAGGATTCTCAGAATTCACTGGCCAGACAAAATCAGCAACCAGGAACTGTGGCAGCGGACAAAACAGAAACCCATTGAGGAAGAGATTCTCCAGAAGCGGTGGAGGTGGATTGGTCATACACTAAGAAAACCTGCTTCTAACATAACAAAGCAAGCCCTGAAATGGAACCCACAGGGTAAGCGGAAAAGAGGCCGTCCAAGAAACACTTGGCGCCGAGAATTGGAGACAGACATCAAGAAAATTGGCCATGAATGGAAGATCCTGGAGAAGCTGGCCCAGGATAGAGATGCCTGGAGGTCTCTCGTAGGTGGCCTATGCCCTTGGAGGAACCGCAGACGCCGACGATGATCGGTGGATGCCCCTCATGGACGAGAAGGCTCAACAACAACAACAACAAAAATCATGCATGCTCTTGGCAAAGACAATTCTTTCCATTAATCTTTGTTTTGAGCAATTCTTTCGATTAACTTCTTATCCGAACAATTCTTTCCATTAATTTCTATTCTGAGTAATTATTTCCATTAATTTCTATTCTATTCTATGCAGTTTTTTCCATTATTTTCTAATCTGAGAAATTCGTTTCATTAATCCTTGTTCTGAGTAATTCTTTCAATTATTTTCTATTCTAAGCACTTCTTTCCATTAATTTCTAATTTGAGCAATTCTTTCCATTAATTTCTAATTTGAGCAATTCTTTCCATTAATTTATAATGTGAGCAATTCTTTCCATTAATTTATAATGTGAGCAATTCTTTCCATTAATTTCTAATGTGAGCAATTCTCTCCATTAATTGCTGTTCTGGTAAGTTCTTTCCTTTATTTTATTTCCGTCGTTTTCAGCTTGTTGCTCTTTACGCCCCTCCTTGCCTCACTAACTCTCTCTCTCTCCTTCCCTCCG